TCTATCCATGTCATATCAGCTATTTATTATCTATTAATTATTCTGCCTTTAGCCCCAACAGCAGAGGCACCTGCAGGGGTGACTTTGCTTATCAGTCGAATTCCCTGACATAGGCTTAGTTGTCTAGGGAGGGAGCTTCATTGACTATGTGGAATGGGTGCTGGTATCCTGTGGATCATCAATGACTGTCAGACCAGCTGACGACGATGCCAATCCCACTCCCAATCCAGTGCCCAGCAAGATACCATCCCACTACAAGGAGCTGAAGCACGAGCCCACTGCAGACAATGAGTCCACAACTGAGTCAGCGCCAACGGAAGCGACCCAGCAGAACTGTTCTGAACTGTCATGATAGGCACAACAACCAACATAATAAAGTATTGCCTGATTCTCATTCATCCTTTTCAGATAAAACTGAACACACTTTTAGTGCCACTCAGTTTGGAAGTCTTGCTTTGAAACAGGCAGCTACCAGATGAAGCTTTTCTAGCTTTTCCTTGAGAGTTGATATGTAAACAAAAACTAGTCAAAAAATAGTAATGATCCTCAAGTAAAAAAAAAAATTAATAATAATAATAAAGTAAAAAAAAAAAAAAAAACATGTTATTGTGGTTGTTGTTGTCTGCTTATCTTAATGTGTTATGCCATTGTTCATGTGCTTCAGTAGGGAAAAATGCAGGTACATTGATTGTGTTAATGCACCATCCCAGCCTGAACAGCCAATAGGGAAGGGACTGCACTGATCTGCTGATCTCAGGTAAGATTTTCCCATCGTGCATCAGTGTATATGTCTGCAGCAGCTTTGTAGTGATGACCTAAGACCTGTGGGAGGGGAACACTTTGTCTGGCTATCTCCTAATAACACGCTTAACCAACTAACATGCTGTTTAGTGTCCTGCCATGTATACACTTGTGCAGGTTTTATTGCCAATGTGCATTTGAAGAGTTGTGGGATTTTTTTTTATTGAGGCCATATTTCATTTTGGCCTACTTTTCCTAAATTGCCTGTGGGACTCAGTGAGGGGAGTGAAGCGTAGCTGCTTCTAAATGAGATGGGAGGAAGAAAGACAAAAGACAAGGGGGAGGAGAGAGAGGGCCCGACTCTTTCTTATGGTTGTGACTCATTGAAAAAGACAATGAGATAGAGCTGAAGAATAAGAGAAGTGAAGGATGATTGGAGGAACAGGGTCAAATCCCAACTAAATGAGGAAATTGTGCTCTCTTGATAATTGCTAATCAGTAATGGTTGTTATTTGGTAAGAGTTCAGCTGTAGTGATTAGCATTCATTACTATCACCTCAAGTCCTTTTGAATATCCTCAGTTTAAATGGTCTTTTAAATCTTATATATATCATATATATAAATATATATCCAGTTTATATATATTTATATATATATATATATATAAACTGGATGTTGTAAGTGTTGATACACATGAGTCTGAGGATTCGCTACCTCAGTCTCATGCGTATGAGGAGCTTGTTGAAGTGGTCACGAGAGCGGTCTAAAAATTAAATATCGATTGGCCTTCAGATAAGCAGGACGTTTGTTCGAAAAGCAAGCTCGACGAACATTTCCTGCCCTCTCCTGCACAACCTCAACACCAGGGTCTTCCGTTTTTCCCCGATCTTCACACTAAGGTGTCAAGATCGTGCAAGTATTTATATTGAACCGTTCGGTACGAGGCTTTTGGTTCGGTTTTCGGTACGCATTTTTAAACCGAAGGGTTCGTTGGATCATTTTTCCTGCCGACCAATTTCGTTATTTCAAATGTAGGCACATTGCGTGTGGTAAGCGCGCTCATAGACGCAGGCATGACCACAAATTTGCCCAACATCAAATGGCAAATGTAATGCAAGCAGAACGAAACTGAGCTTCTTGTTATTGTGTGGTTGACGGACCGTTTATCAGATTGGGCCACTGCAGCGCGAGCCGATCTTCAGCACTGTTACTACAAATCACGAAATTCAGTAAAGAAAGCATTTGAATTCACCACTGAAGTAATAACATCGCTGCAAGATCTAGTGAGAAACATTCACATTTCTCCATTATTAATGGATCAAACCGCGCTGACGTGGAAACCAGGAGAAACTTTGTGCCATGAATGAACTAATCAGTGTCCACAGATCAGCAACATTCACCATGGATTTACTGTAGTAAAACTACTAACTGTAACAATGGAAGTTTGTCTGGAATAGTAGGCTATAATGCTTTTAAGTAACATTACGTTGGTTTTATTATTGTCACGGGGTGTGGTGCAGGGGTGCAGGAGTGCAGGACGAAGGAGCGGGAGGAATCCAGATTAACATCAAACACGAATTTATTATAAACATACAGGCAGGAAGGCAGGGAAACAGGCGCAAACACCAGGTAACATAAACATCGACTGACAAAGACAGACTGAATAAGATCGAACTAAATAGACAGAGGAATCAAACTAAATGGGGTGCAAACAGGTGAAAATGATGACGAACAGACGAGGAACAGGTGGCTGATGAGGGAGTGAGATCAGGAGAGGAAACAAAAGGATCCTGGGAAGCGTGGTGCAGATGACGAGACAAACAGGTGAAGACGAAGACTGTGACATCACTCCCCCCTCCCGGTAGGCGTGACCTCACGCCGTAACATCAGCGGGGAGGGGGGGTGGGCGCCCTGGAGGCTGTGGAGGACGTGGTCAGGCGCAGGCAGCCCCCCAGGGCGGAGCAGGATGAGGGCGTGGCCAGGGCGGAGCAGGATGAGGGCGTGGCCAGGATGGAGCAGGATGAGGGCGTGGCCAGGGCGGAGCAGGATGAGGGCGTGGCCAGGGCGGAGCAGGATGAGGGCGTGGCCAGGGCGGAGCAGGATGCGAGGACCCTTCGGGTGGCCACGGCGGTGAGAGCCCTTCAGGCGGCCGTGGCGGTGAGAGCCCTTCGGGAGGCCACGGTGGTGAGAGCCCTTCGGGTGGCCGTGGCGGTGAGAGCCCTTCGGGAGGCCACGGCGGTGAGAGCCCTTCGGGAGGCCACGGCGGTGAGAGCCCTTCGGGAGGCCACGGCGGTGAGAGCCCTTCGGGAGGCCACGGCGGTGAGAGCCCTTCGGGCGGCCACGGCGGTGAGAGCCCTTCAGGCAGCCGTGGCGGTGAGAGCCCTTCGGGAGGCCACGGCGGTGAGAGCCCTTCGGGCGGCCACGGCGGTGAGAGCCCTTCAGGCGGCCGTGGCTGGGACACTGGGCCCCCCCCAAAAAAATATTTGGGTTGAGGCCCCGGGTGAAGGGCAGATGGGGAGTGGATGGTCTCACCCACTCCACACAGGCAAGGAAGTCATCTGCTGGACCGCTCCCTGGGAGGCGTGCCCGGGTCCGCTCGCTGAGGCTGGCGATGTAGAAAACACACAGCGAGCGGTCCGGGTAGTGGGTGTGGAACGCCAACTCCAGAAAGTCCCTGGTATGGGACTCCAGGGAGCGGTCTTCCTGGTCCAAACAGAGGAGGCTCACCGCTGGAAGGTCCATCACTCTCAGTTAAATCTTGGTCAGTCGATCTGTCACGGGGTGTGGTGCAGGAGTGCAGGACGAAGGAGCGGGAGGAATCCAGATTAACATCAAACACGAATTTATTATAAACATACAGGCAGGAAGGCAGGGAAACAGGCGCAAACACCAGGTAACATAAACATCGACTGACAAAGACAGACTGAATAAGATCGAACTAAATAGACAGAGGAATCAAACTAAATGGGGTGCAAACAGGTGAAAATGATGACGAACAGACGAGGAACAGGTGGCTGATGAGGGAGTGAGATCAGGAGAGGAAACAAAAGGATCCGGGGAAGCGTGGTGCAGATGACGAGACAAACAGGTGAAGACGAAGACTGTGACAATTATGACATTATGAATACAATTGCTGCCCTCAAATGTTAATCTAAACTAAAATAAACCTTTGTTTATAACTACTATAATATTACATTTCATTTTGTCCAAGGAGCTGTTTTGTTTCATATGCTCCTAAGAAAAGTCAAATATAGCTCCATCATTGCTCAAAGTAAAAAAAAAAAAAAAATCATACTTTATGTTAGTTTTAATAAAAAATATAAGTAAAAAAATTATATCAAGGACATTTCTCTGGCATTTCTTTCTTTTTGCTGTATCAGTGTATCATATTGAACCGAACCGTGAATTTTGTGAACCGGGAGTCGGGGGGGTGGGGGGGGGGGGCGGAACTGAAGGAAGGAAGGAATTTAAGAGGAACTGAAGTCTTTCAGAAACCTGAGTTTAGAACAAAATTAAAGGAAAGATGTGTCTCAATACAGGGTGTCAGTCTGTGGAATAATCTAAATAGTGAAATTAAAACTTCAACATCATTTTTTGTTTTTAAGAAGAGTGTAAAAGCATTACTAATAGAAAAATATATTGCATCTATTTAGTAGGAAAATGTGTTATTTGATTTATGACTTTGCATAGGTGCTGCAAAATAGATGTGTGTTGTGTACCTCTTTGGAGTTGTAATTTGATTTATGTTGATAAGGGGCAGATATTATAATTTTATCTTCTTTCTGCTCCTTTTCATTTCTTTTTTTTTTTTCAAAAGAATGAAATAAATATATATGAATGAATGAATGAATGATTTAATACAATTATTTTTGCTCCATTTCAGTGCATTGCTTTTTTTTAAACAAATAACTTTATCTGTTGGGATATGAACTTAAAAGAAATAGGTCAAGCCATTGTTTTTGTTTTTTTATGCCAGCAATTTGTGCAATATTTATTATGTGCAATTTAAAGAAAAAAAACAACAACAATTGTCTTAACATTTGAAAATGATTTTATAAATACATTTTTTAAAACTTTTTATAACATAACTCATAAATATACTGACAACATATTTAAAATTAACAGTCCATACAAAAAGACTTCAGCTGAGCAGAGAGACCCTGGTGGTGCTGCGGGACCTGGGTGGGCTCCACATCATCTAAGATGGCCTCCAGAGTGTTTGACCGCATATTTCCACTGTCCAATGCATTGTCTACCAACAGGTTTGCAGGGCTGACTCAATCAACGGCTGTCATCTCACTGAGATCATTTTAAAAAGAATAAAATTAACTCGCATCCTAAAATCAAACCATACAATATCATTCTATGGACATTCATTTTTGGTCTTGGGCATTATAGCTTTACAGTTCACTGACTTGCCTACAAGTAGTCGTGGTCGATGGGAGCCTCCTCCAGGGCAGACACCTCTGCACACAACTGGTCTCGCCAGGGAGCACCGCTGACAGTCTCCAACACATGCTCCCCCTCATCCTCTGCATCATCCTCCTCGTGCTCATACTCCGTGGGCATGATATCACCAACGCCAAGGCAGATGTTGTGGAGGACAGCACATGCTGTGATGACCTGAAATGAAAAAAAAAAAATTAAAAAACCTATATAGTCTATTTTTTTGTTTTGTTTTGTTTTTTGCAAATGTATTTTCAATTCACTTACATGAGGTACAAAGGTGTGGTGCACCTCCAGCGCTTTCAGGAAGATGGCCCTGAACCTGGTCTTCATCATCCTAAAAGAACGCTCTATAATGGAGCGTGCCCTGAAATGATGAAGGTTAAAGCGCTGGTTCCCCATACCTCGTACTGGCCTCTTGTAGGGAGTGATGAGGGGGAGCGGGTGCTGGAGACATGGGTACCCTCCGTCTGCGAGGATGAAGTGCCCTGGAGGAGGGTACACTGACATCCTGTACAGTGGGCTGTACCAGAGTACTCGTGCGTCATGCACTGACCCGGGCCAGCCCACGTAGGTGTCAATGAAGCGGCCCTGATGGTCACAAACAGCCTGCAGGATGATGGATGGGAACAGTTTCCTTTTCCTGTAGCACTGACCATCAGGGCCGCTTGGAGGCTTGATGCAGACATGGCAGCCGTCGATTGCTCCTGCAGCTTTCAAGAAAGCTCGGTGTCTGGCCAGCCCTGCAAACCCACGGCAAGCTGCCTGAAGGTCTTCTGGGGTGTTGGGGAAGTGAATGACTTGGTGACGAATGGCCACCACCTCCTCAGCAACCCGGTGGACAATGTGGTGGACAGTGGAACGAGGCATGTCAAACATTCTGGAGACGACCCTGTATGATGTACCACACGCCAGCCAGAAAAGAAATACCAGGGTCTCTATTGTGGAACCCCATCCGTGTTGGCGTTCACTCCTCAACAGATCCAGCAGAACTCTCAGGGTCTTCCTGCTCAGCCGAAAATAAGGTTGTGTGTCAGAGTCGTTAAAAACCTGTCGAGCACTGGCACGCTCAGGTTTACCCTGCAGTACAGGGGTGTGGTCTGATTTAGGGAAAGGAACAAAAGAGTTTTCGTAAACTACTTTTAGTATACTCTTAAAAGAGATTGAGCCTTTTCTTGTTAGAGTGTACACTCTTAGAAAAAAGGGTTCTATATATGTAGCATCAGGTTCTTTACTCAACTGCAAAAGACCGTTTATCCATAGAAAAGATGATAATGACAAGAAAGAACCCTTTTGGCACAAATGTTCTTTATAGGCTATTATTCATTCATATATTACATTATTCTGAAACATTTTGCAGTTGTAATTAAATTATCAAGGTCTAGGTCAAGGTGTCTTTATTAGTACCCGAGGGTAAAATCTTTGTGCAGACAGGAGACTCTCGGCAATCCATACATAAAAACATCAAGACAAACAAAAAGCATAAAACATTATAAAGGAACAAAGCTTAAAACTTCAAAAATGAACATGGCAGTGTATCTCTACACCACCACCCTCCCTACCTGCCCACCCCCCTGGCTAAAACACATAAGGTGCTATGCATAGCAAAAAGTGTCATCTACTGCTATTTTTATTAATTAATTCTATGGCAGCGGGAACAAAAGTATTCCTGTATCATTTGGTTCTACACCTAATGGCGGCAAACCGACATCCAGAGGGGAGGAGCTGAAACTCAGAGTGTAAAGGGTGAGAACAGTCTCCGATAATGATGGCACTTGCTTTATGATGAAACTGATTGGAATACAGGGTTACAAGGAATACAAGGTTGAGTTGAGATTCACCTATGATCTTACTAGCCCACCTAACAATTTGGTTCAAAGAATTTTTGTTCTTCAAAGATAAATTTCCAAACCAAGATACATGGGAGAACGACAAGACAGATTCAAGAAATGCGTGATAAAAAAGGATCATCATAGATTTATCAATACGAAATCTGGACAACTTTCTGAGGCAGAACAGACGCTGGTGACCCTTTTTACATACAGACTCACAGTGTTTTTCAAAGGTCAATTTAGAGTCTATGACAGTCCCAAGATATTTGTAGCTTTCAACACAGTCCACCGCCTGGTCTTTAATGACCGTAGAGTCGTAATGAGAAGCACTGTTTCTGAAATCTATGATCATGTCTTTTGTTTTTTTCTATATTTAACTCCAAATATGATTTGTCACACCAAGAAACAAACTCTTCAATAATAGGACCATGACCAGACTCACCAACAATTAACAGACTCACAATAACTGTGTCATCAGCATATTTCAGAATCGTTCTGTTTGCATACAGTACATGCTTTGGCACATGTTGGTGTACAAAATATAAAATAAGGGTGAAAGAACACAGCCCTGTGGTGAGCCAGTCGATGTACACAGTAAATCTGACAAAGTGCCATTTACTCTCACCCTCTGTGTTCTGTTTATCAAAAAATCCAATATCCAACCCACCAAATTCTCGCTAAGGTCAAAATGCTCTATTAATCTTTTGGCTAAAACGTGAGGTTGGATAGTGTTAAAAGCTGAGGAGAAATCAACGAACAACAGTCTAGCATGCGTCTTACTCCCTTCTAAGTGCTTAAGCAAGAGTTTAAGTAGAGTAGCATCCTCAACTCCTCTATGTGCCCTATAAGCAAACTGCATAGGATCAAGAGCTTGCTCAGTTTGCCTCACAATCTCCATATTCACCAGCTTTTCAAAGGATTTCATTACAAGCGAAGTGAGGGCAACTGGCCTGAGATCATTTAAACCTTGGGACTATTACTTTTAGGAACCGGGATAATAACAGCCTGCTTCCACAGTTTAGGTATGTTGTAAGTATAAAGACATATTAAAAATATCGTGGATGATAGAACTTAGTTGTCCTGCACAGTATTTCAGTAGTTTGCCACAAATGTTGTCTGGACCAGGACTCTTATTTAACTTCTGTGAAAAAAAATATATTTTTCAACTGCTCCCTGGTCCAGGATGAGGTGATGTTTGTCTTTAAATGTAAATCGCAGTTCATCAACTTCATCTTTAAAATCAAACTGATCAAATCTCAAATAAAAATTGTTAAGAGCATTGGCAAGCTCTCTATTTGAACTGAAACCATCCATTAGATAGATAGATAGATAGATAGATAGATAGATAGATAGATAGATAGATAGATAGATAGATAGATAGATAGATAGATAGATCCACGGTCCACAGAGGCTCGTCTCTTATGTTTGCGTTTCCTTTTTATTGCCTGAGTCAGCTTTTCTATTCGAAACACTGCTCACCCAAAACAGATACCAAGCTTCAACAAATCACAGCATGTCCTAAAGTCAGCTTTAATGGGTCTTCACAGGAAAAACAGACGGAGGACAGCGGAGAAAAATTACAGCAGACTGGAGAGAGTGAGAAGAGGCGTTGTCAATGGATGGGAGAGATTCAAAGTGTTAGTTCAAAAAAAAAAAAAGAAAAGACAAATAAACTCTGTTATTATTTAATCCCCCTCATGTCGTTCCAAACATGTATGACTTTCGTTCCTCTGTGGAACTGAGAAACTTAACTAAAACTAAAGAACATTTTAATAATCTAAGACTGTTTCCACTACAAAGAACCTTTTGAGCAATGTAAAGTTTATATGGAAAGTTTTTGTGGAACCATTGCCATTAAATAAACTTAATTTTTATAAGTGTATAAAGAATTAGAAAAAACCAGGTTAATGTTAAATAAACTTTACAACTATATTAAAGAACTACATTATGTATCCTGAGGGGGAAAAAGAACAACTTCTAAGCAATAAATAAATAAATACAAATTTGTTGGTGCTACAAATTTGGACCATGTCAGTTAAAACATTGAGCTACACACTAAATAGTCTTGCATGATTGCATCAGGGGAATTTGCCCAAACCATCATATTGATCCACAACAAATGAAGACTACATGTAGATCTGTAGCTTTCAAAAGTAATAAACTACAAAACATCCCTGTTATTTATATTCCCAAGTGCTAGAAATTATTTTTACAGTCAGAAGTTTTAGATTATAGGCGAGGGATTGTGAAGGTGGTTGACAAGTTGTTTGTTCGTGCTTTAAAGGAGATTAATTTAGAGCCACATGTGCAGCAAGATGAGTGCAGCAAAAAGGGAGAAAAAAAAAATCTACACCAGCAAGAGGGCCAAAAATGGGATGCATTTGATGTTAATAGTGACATGCACCTCACACTTAATGCATTGATTATAGCCTTGAATCAACGTCATTGATTTATTCTTTACTATTTGTATGCAAATATGATTTTTTACATATGCATGAGTCAAATGTAAACATGGTCACATCACCCCAAAATGAGACCATACATTTTCATTGCTGTAACATGACAGTAATAATGTAACCTTTCGGAAAAAAAAAATCTCATTACTCTATTAATTTATAGTAAACATATATTAATACTATATACTGTACATTAATAATTATTAGATAATCTACAGTTAATGCTTAGGATTACAATAAATAATTAGTTTAATAGAATCAGCATTAACCCCCTACCTGTTAACCCCATTTTTTGAGAATGTGGGTTAAAATGCACTAATCACACTTAAATGGTTGTAATTCAAGAATGCTTTGGAATATATACCCAAGTTTGTTCTTGTTTTAAAGAAAACACTCAGCAGATTATTGCTGATGTGAAAACACTTCAAAAACTGAAAGTATGAAAAAGTTATGGAAGTTTAAATTTACAGTAAATCAAATATACTGTACTATACAGTATATTTTTTTTATTTTATACTGTATAAAATATATATTTTACAAAATGTTTCTTACTATAAAATTACTATAAAATCAAAGCCATAAATCTAACCAAGTAATATTCCAAATTTGAAGTTAATATCACAAAAATTGAAGTTCCCATGAGATTTTGTTTAGACGTAGTACCAGAAATAGCCACCGGGTGCCATTGAATTCCATTGAATTTAGTTGTATATATTATGCCTTAACAAATTAATACATTAATACAATTTCTGTCCAAATATCAATTCTGTCACAAAATTTGGAACATTGAGACTCAGACCTTTCTGACAATATGTTTTTTGTCAAGATTAAAAAAGGTTTTGATCATTAATTATGAAATATAATGATGCCCAAAAGGGGAGGAGCCTGATAAAATAAGTACCATTTCTATGGTAACGCAACATTCAATTATAAAACGGTTTTCACAGTATGGATTCTAAGTTTATAAGCTTTCAAATGATATCTAACTTCTGATAACTACTAAAATATGTGATATAATGCAAAGGCGATAAAAAATAATATTATAATTTAGAGGATAATATATATTATATTTTTTAGAAGATAATAGTATACTATTTTATTTAAACAGAATTTTCAATGATTAAAAGTGGGTGCAAAGGTAAGAACTCCTGTTATGATGCAGATTTTTTTAAGGTGCACTCTTGTCATAAATTCATCAATTACTCTTCCTACATAATTTGTAACACAAAATAGGGGTAGAATATATATTTAGAAGTCTTAGACCTTTCCAACAATATATCATTTGTCATAATTAGATTAGGATTTAATAGAAATATAGTGAAGTAAAGTTAGGCGTCCCGGTACCGCGACGGTGAAGTCAGTGCAACACAGACATTTTATTTATCTATTTTTAAATATAGAATAATAAGTTGTGTAAGAAGTGCAGTGGATTCACTTTTTATGACGTCATGAGCAATCCAGTTATATTTTCTAAAGCTATACAGTATGTATATTTAAAAAAAAAAATGGATCACATCACTTCAGAAGGCCTTTATTAACCCCTTGGAGCCATATGGATTACGTTTATGATAGATGGAGGCGCTTTTTTTGGTTCTTCCAAATCTCAGGTACCATTCACTCCAATTATCAAGCTTGGAAGAGGATATTTTTTTTTTAATATAACTACAATT